TCCTAGGAGAAGAATCTTCTTTTTTTTTTCCTGACTCTACAGAGCATGCTGTCCTTTTCCAGGGACTGATCTCTCCCGATAACACGTCTAAAGTACGTGAGGCAAGGTCTCGCTTCTAAGCATTCTGGCTATACTTTCTGCAAGACTGCTTTGTTTGTTTTTCTGGAAGTCCGTGGTCCTTCAAATATTCTTCCCCGGTGCCAGAACTCACATGCGTCAATGCGTCTCTGATCTTTCTTATTCATGATCCAGTTTCACATGCACCTGCAGTGATGGAAAATACCATGGTGTCTTGGGTCAGGTGCCCCTTAGTTTTCAGAGTGAGCTCTTTCCTACTGTATGCTAAATCTGCCCTCTCAGAGACACATCATTGTGCTCACGTTACAAATGAGAAAACAGATTCAAGAGAAATCAAGTGAGGCCATAGAACTAGGAAATGGTAAAGAAGGGATTTCCAACCAGGGATGTAGGACTCTCAGTCTGCGTCTTACTCGGCTCACTGCACACTGACTCTCACCAGGAGGACTGGTTCAGAAAATGGGCATGGCTGACACTGTAAAGCCAGCATCAGAGTGAGAAGAGCAGCTCTGTTATCTCCCCCTATTGATTGTCGTCTCAGAAGGATCATCTCTATTGAGGAAGGACAGAGAAACTAGGTACAACGGTGTTCAACAGTGGCCCCAGTGCTTTTGAAGTAATGACATTGGTGATACAGAATTTCAGAAAGACGTGGGTCACTGGGTGTGGAAGACTGCCAAAGGGAAAGGCCAGATGAAGGGCCAGGCATATTGTAAATGCTCAATAAATACTGGTTGGACTGGAAACAGGCCCACAAACTTTTTAAACTGCATTTCCTCCTTCCCTCTGCTCTGCCTATGGGTGTGCATCGAGGAAGTGCCTCATCGCCTGACAATGAGGCAACATGGGAGAACAGGCTATTTTCTGCGGGTTTCTGAGTCACTCCAAGAGTTGTCCTAGTGAATCAGTCCCTCCTTCCCGTCCCTCCCTACCCCCCTCCCTCAGTAGCAGCTAATTCCTCGCCACTCTTCCCAGCCAGAGTGGGTGCCCTACAGCCTATTTTCTTTGGAGCAATCATTCGCTCCCCTGATTTCCTGCTCTCCTGCCCTGGCCTGAGCTGGTGTGGAACCCCACCCCCCCCCCTGCAAGAATGAGATCATCCCTGCCTGGTAGGATTCCGAGTCCGGAGGGCCTTCAGATTGCTTTCCTTTACATTCATCACTCTGGAAGGAGTAAGGGCTGTTTGAAACTCACCGAACTTCAGGCAGCAGCCCTACGACGAGGTAGTTCTGGGGTTTTGTGATTCTTCAGTATCTAAAACTTGCAAATAAACTTAGAGCCCGGTGCACACAAATGTATGCACAGTTGTGGGAACTGGGGTGCATGGCACTCTCTTCAATATGCACCACAGGAGAGAGCGATTTTCTATCTGTTACTTTATCAAGTTGTGAGCTAATGTTTATTTAATGTCTATATGGGTCAAGAGAAAAGTGCTAAAAGGTTATAGATTGTATCTGTTTTCTCCCAATGTAAACTTCCTAGGCATGTGTTCTATAAATATTTATTGCTGGCTTGAGGAGGCCACAACGGCAGAAAAGAGGGCAAGATTGGGTGAACGAAAACGTCCTGAGTTCTAGTCCTTGCTCTGGCACAATCCTACTTGGCCTCCCATTTAACTTCCATTAACCTTCATTGGCAAAGAACATGAAAATAATGGACTGGTCCTTCCAGACCGTTTTGCGGTATGATTTTATGTCTCTACAGAGTCTCTACATGTAATTACATGTGCCAGATGCCACTTACAAGCCTTTATTAAATGCCAGGCATTGTGTACATGGCTTTACATAATACATCTCATTGAAGGGGATCTTATACAAAAGATGTTAGTGTTTGCATTGTACAAGGGTGGCAACGGAGGCACCATGAGGCTGGCGATCTTGGGATGAATGAATGTGGGCAAAGAATAGTTACTCCTGTGGCTCCAGAGTGCCTCTCGGTGACTGTGCTTGCCTCTCTTTAGGGACCCAGGGTGCTGTCCATGGTTAAATGCTTGATTGCTAACTCAAAGGTTAGTGGTTTGAACCTGCCCAAAAGTACCCTGGAAGAAAGGCCCGGGTTCTGAAAGGTCATGGCCCTGAAAGCCCCGAGGGCAGCTCTCCTCTGCACACATGGATCACCGGGAGTCAGAACTCTCTAGGTGGCAGTTGGCTCCTGTTGTCAACTCTCTGTTGTGCTTGAGGGGTTAGGAAATGGGAAATGCAACGTGTAGTTAAACATTTGACCCATCACTCGGAATAGCGATATTCCTAGAGTATATGTGTAATCTGGACTGATTTTTTTTAAAAGGGAAAGCAATAAAGGAGGAGAT